ATTTGTTCAACAGCTACCAGAGCTGTCTTGTAGTCTTTATCTACAATATTTTGTTCAACAGCTGTCAAAGCTGTTTTGTAGTTTTTGCCTGAAACAGGCTGTGTAGTGCCTACCAAAGGCTTTGTGGTGGTGCCTACCAAAGGCTTTGTGGTGAAAGGCTTCAAACCTTCCATTAAAATTTTTTTAAAACAAAAAATAAAAAGGCGGAAAATCAGAGAGAAAGTAAGGCAGCAGATAAGTGGAGGAGGGATAAGGGAATCCAAGGAATACACTGTAAAGCAATATTTATAAAAGAATATAGATAATCATAAGGCTTAAATGAAAATCTTTTTGGTTGATTTTATACAATTTTTGATTTTTATGTTTTTATTTTTTTTATTTTTTTTATATAAAATGATAAAAAGAAAAACACACAAACATACAAGAAAGAGTGAAATTACCCTTGAAGATTTCGAGGAACTCCTAATGGCGTAATCTCTCACGTCATTAGCCCTACAAAGACCATATTGCCCTTGAAGGTTTCGAGGAGCTTCGCATGACGTAAGCCCTTACGTCATACACAGCTGTATCAAAAGACGACAAAGGTTAATGGCAGATAATGATATCTTGCTACCTTGTCACGATTCCTCTTCCGTTACATGTTGTTAGGCCTGAACCTAAAGATACATTATCCAGAGTATCTGTTGGTTCATCATTTGTGTTAACGAACCCAACCAAAGGTTCTGAAACTAAAGACACATTATCTGGTGTATCTTTTTCTTTTACAATTTTTTCTAAGTGAAGAGTCTTTTCTTCAAGTATGTTTAATCGGGTTTCTAAGACTGGAGTCCTAGTGTCGATTAAATTTTTGTTTTTTGTACTTTCTTCTTTTCCTAAGAAAGTAGGTATTTCCTGTATTCCTGTAAAAGATATCATTATCTGCCATTGGCCTGTCGTCTTTGATACAGCTATTGTATGACATGGGGCTTACATCTGGCTCCCTCGAAAACTGCTCAAGAAATTTGTATGATAGGGCTAATGACGTGA